CCCACACACCCACACACACACACACACACTCCCTCCTTGGTAAGGCAGGAGGAGATAAATCATAGATCATATATTAGTGTGGGAGAGCTGAAGAAATCCCACTCCTTGCAGAGTCTAGAGGGGAGAATTTGTGGGTGGATACTGAGAAGACACGCCCCCAGCATGTTGTAGTCATTCACATGAATAAGCACAGGGGGTGGCTACTTTTCAGCTCCCATAGGAACCATGGAGAAGAAAAGGAGCCATTCTCTGGCAGGAAGTTGTGAATGGAGAAAAATAAAACCGATTTTATAGCATTTAGAACTGAACAATGACAAAAAAAAGGCACACAGTCATTGATTATTTATATAATAGAACTTACTTTTATTTTATTATTTCATTTTTGAGTTTAGTGTCGGTTTAACTATTATTGTGATGCCATTGTAGACACAAACTGCACTTAGCTGAGTTCTTTAATAATTCTGTTGTGTTAAGAAAAAGAAGATGTGCAACTTGTCTGCACAATGACTATTGTAGGATCTTATCTTTCATAAATTAGTCATAACGTTGAGGCTACATCATGATTGCTTTGGTAACATGTTCCTCTATTTCATGTTTGGGATTTTTTATTGCATGAGCTGAAGAGTAGCTAGAAATATATATTCACATATACAGTCTCAGACATGTCTTGAAATGTAAGGTTAAAGGAGAACTATGGGGTCAGGGCTTTTCCCCATAGTCCTCCTTAGGGTAACGGGAGGACACAAACTAGCGTCCTCCCATTACCCTAAACTCAGTATACCGCGAGCTACAGCTCGCGGTATACTGAGACGCCGCAGCCGGAGCGGATCCCGACATCGATGTCGAGATCCGCCCAGCTGCGTGACTGACAGCTGGCTCTGCCTATCTAGAGGCAGAGCCAGCTGTACCCACCCCCTCCCTCGTCCGATCCGCCAGTCAGCGCTGGCGGTTTGGAGCGGGGAGGGGGGAATCCAGCCCCTCCCCTGTCAACGCAGAGAGCCGTGACAGGATCGAGAGGTGAGCGAACGCCGGTATATGTTCGCTCACCTCCTGATCTACTGAGCCGACCTGTGACAGTCTCATTGTCACAGGTCGGCTAAAACTATGAGGTGAGTGAAAAGCACTCACCTCATAGTTCTCCTTTAAAGGTTAGGTTAGGGCTTTTCCCCATAGTTCTGCTAAGGGTAACGGGTAACTAGCGTCCTCCTGTCACCCAAAACTCAGTATACTGAGATGCCGCAGCTGGAACGGATCCCGACAATTATGTCTGGATCCACCCAGCTACATGAGTGACAGCAGCCGGAGCGGATCCCGACATCGATGTCGAGATCCGCCCAGCTGCGTGACTGACAGCTGGCTCTGCCTATCTAGAGGCAAAGCCAGCTGTACCCGCCCCCTCCCCGTCCGTTCCGCCAGTCAGCGCTGGAGGATCGGACAGGGTAGGGGGGATCCCTGCACGGATAGATCGAAAAGTGAGCGAGCGCCGGTATGTGTTCCGCTCACTTCCCGATCTACTGAGTCGACCTGTGACAGTTTCATTGTCACAGGTCGGCTCAGATTATGAGGCTGAGTGAAAATCACTCACCTCATAATTCTCATTTAAAGTGACACTGAACTCAGGATTTAAATCCTAAAAATGAATTCACGTACCCTAACTATTAACATAAATGTAGCTTTTTTTTATATCCCTCAGCTGTAGATTCTCAAATCATCTCTGAATTGGTGCTGACACTGTCCTTCCTTATGGAGGGTGGTTACTTTTCTTCCCCATGGTCCCTGTGTGTGTATCTAGCCACAGCTCCAAGCTCACTCCCGTGATGGACTACAATCTCAATACAAATTAGTAAACTAAACACGAGATAGTAGTCCATCACATGAGTGAGCATGGAGCTGTGGCTACTTTACATCACACACAGAGACCATGGGGAACAAAAGCATCCACCCTCCAGAAGGAAGGACAGTGTCAGTATGAATTCAGAGATGAGGTGAGGATCTACAGCTGAGTGATACACAAATAAGATACATTTTTGTTATTAGTTAAGGTACTTGAATGCATTTTTAAAGGAGAACTAAGGTTGTTTTTCTTCCCTTAGATTCTGGTGGATTCCTGTGTGCGGTAGCATTGGTTATGTCAGCTTTCTTCATTAATATGTATACTGGAGTGAAGCTTTGTTTTCCATGTTTCAAATTAATTAATAAAGGCTTGAACAGGCATGTGTTATGGCTCAAACATATTGCATGTCAAGGTTTGTAAATATACACATTACAATAATAGCTACTTAAATAAGACTGAAATACTAGTCCCATCACACAATTACAGTTAAGTATATGCAATTAACAAATGTATGCAAATCAGTGGTTTTAGATAGAGAGAACTTCTTGATCTTATGGTTGCTTATGCTATACCCTAGGCACAGTCGCATTGGTTGCATTAGGTAAAAATGCTGCCGGTAAAAAAGTGTATGTTATAGGAACAGTGGAGGCATTTATACTGGATCTTAGTGTAGGTTTACCTTGGTATAACTTGCAGAATAAATATGTTATTTGATATGTGTCTATTGTTAAACAAAGAGTAATATTTAGTAAAAACTCACACAATTGAGTCAGAAGTAAAGGAATTCAGTAACGGCTTTGAATTCCAGCTTCTTTTATTGAGCACATCTGCCATGAGGAGGCCTGTTTGCTACATGCTATATGTCAGGTTGAGCTAGAGTCTAAAAGAAAACATGCACAATCCAAAGGGTGGTTAGCATTGCCAAAATGCCACAGATTGCAAAGAAAGTCCTAGTTTGTCAGTTTGTGAGAGAAACATTTTATCCCAGAAGGGTTTACTCTGATCAATCTAGCATATTAAACCATTCCAGGATCCCCTGCTATCTGTTTTTCCTGCTTCAGGTTCTCCTCTGCCAATCGATAGCAGCGGTGGGCGGGTGCATGTGAAAGTTGAGAAAAAAGGGCTGAACCTTGAGGGACGCACACAGACTTCAATGACAGCTTCCCTTTTCCTCTCCTGAAGAAGCGCCACATAGCGCGAAACGTCACGTTGAGACAACATCAAGCTCCTCCTATATTTATTTATCATATAATGTTAATTGTGTTTCGGTTATCAACCCTATTCATCATGTGATTTATCAAATTAGTCATTTGGTTTGTGAGTTTTCATCATTGTGAAGTGAGCTTGTTGGGAAATTTTGCTGTCATTTTTATGAAATCACTGTCTGTTGTTATTGTTTTAAAAACGTATCATGTTGAATCAAATAAAACTATATATTTTACTCTAAAGAACGCTTGGTCTGAAGGTTGTCAGTTTGATGATCCAAAAAACCCCAGCTTTATATCCTTTCCTCTTTTTTCATACATGTTCATATGTGAGGTTATCTGCAAAACATGCACTGTTGGTGAGACTTGAGAAGTGGTTTGGAAACACTGCCAATAATACATTGAAGCCACCAGCATCCAGCCATCCATAGCTGAAGTAATAGTATTAAGTGGACTGAGCTTGTAATAGCTATATCATTAAAATATCTACATAATATAACTATATAAATTCAATAAATCCCTTTATCTCATAGATACAATAAAATAAACTTTTACCCAGTAAATAAGATTTGCAATGAAATACCCTAGGTCCATTGTCTTTTGTATTATTAGCAAACTATTTTTGCAACAGAAGCACTGCTGCCTGTCACCTGATATTCATGTGAAGACTGAAAGACTGAAACATTGTATCAGATTTACAAAAGGCAGAGTGAGCTCTTGACAAGCTTGTGTTTGTAAAATGTCTCTGCTCCATTCTCATTGACAGTGGTTGCCGGAGAGCATCCCGTGTCCGTGTTGTTTTAGGCTCTGTTTTGGTCCTCACTGCTGTCCCTAAGATGGGAAGCGGTGGGATGTTCTACCAGGGGAAACTGTTGAAGTGAATGGCTCAATGCACATACAGGGTTCAGGGTACTGGCCAGTTGGGGAATACTTGACAAACACTGACATTGCCTGCAAGCACCCCTTTTGTTGCAAGTGAGCAGTCTAAAAATTAAAGATCAGGTTGTACAGAATTGTTGAAATGTGTGCACAAGATCCAGTCTATTTATAAATCTGGATATGACTGTATGAAACAGTGACTGAGTTGGATTTTTTAAAATCAGATATAAACATAATGTGATATGGTGTCATTGAGCAATTTTACATGTTTCTCTATGGCAGTTGGTGGGGATTGAACACAATCCCCAATCAATGTGTGCAAGGAAATCTTAAATTTTTCCTTTCCTTCATTGGAGTATGTGCATTTTTAATGCTGTATGCAGCAACATTGTATGAAAATATCTAAAAAGTAAATGCAGGAAAAAAAATTTAAAAATAGGAAGGTATGTGGCCAGTTTAAAGAGAACCTGGAACAAATGTGTCTGAGTCTACACGCCAAAATTCAATGTGGTAAATTTCTTGTCTCCTGTGTCTCAGTAACCTTTATGCACCCTCTGTCCTTCAGCCTCTCTACTGAGTGTTACAGCAGTGCTGAGCTGATGAAGACTTTGCCCTAACTCCATGCCACAAGATCATTTTAAAGCCACATCTGCCTTGGCTAATGCCTTAGGCAACACTTTTTAATATCTTACATTGTTGGCATATAACAAACCTTTATTCAGGGACTTTTAAGTGGTTGATCCTGTTCCCTTTTCTGCTTGCCGTCCTCAGGATGCAGGAGAGCAGTGGCTTGCAGGTAATACACACGTCCTTCGTGTTGTCTAGCACAGGTATCCAAGTTTAAAGATTTCATAAAGGCAATAAAAGTATTTTTTAACATGTACTGTATATGCTATATAAGATTAAAATATAAGCTGTACATGTATTAAATGTTATAGTTTATTTTGCATTCATTCTTATCAGTATCTCTTAAAGGGCTTGGACACACAACAGTCTTGAAAGTGTTTTTCCACTTTTGCAGCCAAATTTTAGAAAATCCCTCTATATGTTTTTTATGTGTCCTCATTCACACGGCATGCCTAAAAATAATTTTTAGAAAATACTTGTTACCTTTTTAGTTGTTTATTTATAGCAGGTTTAGTCACAAGATTGGAAGCTATTCTGTACAATTTCCGAAGGACAAACTGAGTGCATTAAAAGAGAACTATGAGATGAGTGATTTCCACTCACCTCATAGTTCTAAGCCGACCTGTGACAATGAGACTGTCACAGGTCGGCTCAGTAGATCGGGAG